TAAACCCAAAAAAAAAACTAAACCCTAAACCCAAAACAAAAAACTGTTTCTCTAGGGACCCCAAGTCTTTTCAGTTCCGGACCGCCTTCAGGTGGAGCGGCGGAAGTCTTTGGCTCTCCTGGTGAGACGGAAACTCTTGGATTTCCGGGGGGGGTTCGAATCTAGGTTTTAGCGATTTAAGGAGTTTCGGGTTAAGGGGCTTAGGGTTTAGGAGTTTAGGGTCCTAGTTAGGGTTAGGGTTTGTATGCGGGTAGTTCTCGAAAGTAGGGTCCCTTTTTAGGTCCCCAAAATAGTACGGCACCCTTATAAAACAGGACCCCAAAGGGGACCCTGTTTTAGAGAAATACCCATCTAGGGTTTAGCGATTTGACGCGTTTCGCTTTCCGAGTTTTAGGGCTCGGGGTTTAGGGTTTAGGGCTTAGGGTTTCAGAGTTTGGGGGTTCGGGGTTTCGGGTTTAGGGTTTAGATACTCAGCATATGGCAAACCCCCCAAGGTTGGAAACTGGTAACGGGATGATTAGTGCGCTTGTAGGGCGTGAGGACGGTGAGTTTCCAGTGCCGGAGGCAACTCGCTCTTCACCCTACCTCCACTCCCAAAAAGAACCGTGGTTCGCTAGTAACCTACATAGACAGACCTTCCAATATCCCTGAATTCAGGTATATACCTTAAAGTGTAGTGGGATCCCGACTATGGTTTCCGGTATATTCCTGGATTAAAGTGGTGGTTCTCCAAATTAGGGTCCTTTTTATAAGGGTGCCGTACTATATGGGGCGACCTAGAAAGGGACCCGAACTTTAGAGAACTACCCAAGGGATATTGGAAGGTTTGGGCACCGAAACCCCCCGACTTGGGAGGAGACCCAACAGAGAACCCTCGGCTTTGAGATTTCGGGCCGTCCCACCCTTCCCTTTCTCCAGAGAGAAGTCCCTAAACCCTATAAACTTGGCCCTAAACCCTAAACCCCAAACCCTAACTTTCTTTGCTACTGAGACCCTTAGAGTTGCCCTTTGAACAGGAATCTGTATTAGCCATGTAGCAGCGAAAAGCTGGTACAAGTAGCAACCCCTACAGCTGAAACCCTGGCAGGACGTCTTAAACCAATAAAGGCCGTCCTGCGAGCAGCATTAGGATCTTGTCCATCTTCTGCTGCACCCTCTGCATCGATTCCTTCGGCAGTCGATGTCATTCCAAGCTGGGTGCATATTATACTTTAGGCCTGTGGGTACTAAGACGAAGCGAATACAAACCCATAGGGACTGTAGGGGATATTGTGCCTCTCTTGGATGATTATGAGGGAACACATAACTGATTATAATGATTAGCAGTGGGAGCAGCCGCCTTGGTTGTGGTGAGAACATAAACGACAAAGATGGATGCAGTTTGTGTCGCATAGGGGCCTTAGTAAACAGAATAACTAGGGTTTGGGGGGTCTGTTATATAGTATAGTTACACCGGGAATATAAGCGGATGGTAGACATCTTGAACCGGAAAAACCGATGCGTCCCATGCTTCCACTCTCCCTGAAAAGCCGCTCACGCAGACCTGTCCAACCTCCAACCGGCCAAAACCCAAAGAGAAGCCCCGAATCGAAAAACTTAAACCGTCAACCCAAAACCCTAAGACCGAGCAACCTAAACACAAGCCTCCAAAACCCAGCACAATCCAAAACCCCAAAAAGCCCAGAACCCTCAAACCCCAAAATCCCGAAATCCCTGCACCGTCGGCTTTGGACTGCAGGTCCTTCTGCTCAGCCAGGCTCTCCTTTGGCAGGCCACTGTGGGTTTGTGCGGACAGAAGTCTGATGACGAGTGAAGCGACAGATTACTTGCGCATCTCAGGAACGTTCAGGTATATACTATCTATATATGTAATTATGTACATATACAGGATGTACACACACACACATATGTACGTACATACATTGGTCCGTACATACATGCATGCATACATACAGGTACATACATGGACGACCAAAAGATACTAGCACGAATTCTTCTTGCTTCTATATACTGGGAGGCTTCTTAAGCAATTGGGAGGTCCCTGTAATTAACCTGTCCTGATAACAAAGATCCGACTCTTAAAGGGTTCTTATGAGGGTCACTGATTTTTACTGAAATTCTCGGATACGATTTGGGTTTAAGTTTAGGGTGAGTCACCAAATTTCAGGGCTGCTCAACATCTTCCTCTCTCACACACCGGGCTTAGGGGCATGTCATTGAAGTTTTAATGTCAACGAGGAGTGCTTCAACAAAAAATGCGTGATCGAACACTAGCAGTGCAGCATGCTGAGCGAGGCGCCACACTCTAAAATCTGAGAAGCTTCCAAAAACACAAGCGTAAGAAAGCCCGCTACCCGCTGCCCTGAACCCTAAACTCTAAACCGTTATAAAACTCTAAACCATTTTTTTAAATCCTAAACCCCAAACCCCAAAAAGCCTACCATTAAAGCATCTATGAAAGGCGAATCACTTGGCGCCTTGTGAGCCTTCTGCTGCTTCTGCAAGACATCCTCCAGCTTCTGCATTTTGTCCTTCTCTGAAGGTCTCTGTCTCGGGTATCGGGGTTTTATAGGTGTTTGTTTTTAAGCGCCCTTTTTCCGCCTTAAGGCCTAGGGTTTGGGGTTCGTATGAGTTTGGGGTGTCTGAGGTGGGGACCGAGGTGAGGATGGTTTGGGCTTCCGAGGCGCGCAAGCTAGCAGACTCTACAGAGTTTAGGGTTTAGGGTTTAGGGTTTTTAGGGTTTGGGGTTTAGGGCTTTTAGGGTTTAGGGTTTAGGGTTACCCTGCAGCGCATCCTTGAGATCGGTCCGCATGCCGCGCAGCTCGTCAACGCCCGACTCGGTCCGGACCATGGCATAAATGGTGCACTCGGAAGCCGGCTCATTCCCGAAAACCCGGAAGATAGTGAGGTTCATTGCATACTGCATGCCCTCGATGCGGAAGCCGAGGAGCCAAAAACTCATCAAGCCGAGCGCGACAGGCAAAGCCACCGCCAGTGACATTGCCAGGAGGACAGGAAAGATCAGGAACAGCAAAAAAGTCAGCGTTTTGTGCCGAAACACTCTGCGGCGCGCGGGGCCCATGACGCCGTCCCAGTGGCGAGAGCCGATCACAGTAAACATGACTGGCAGGAAGCAGAGGAGAACCACCACAGCCGTGCAGAGATGGCAGGCGGACATTTCGTTCCCTTTCCTGGGTTCTTGTTGAGAGAGATTTAAGTTACGTGTCCATAAAAAAAGCATATTATTCACTATAGATCTATAGATCCCTATTATGGTAACTTTAAAACAAGAGCCCAGTTTCAGGCTCTCCTGCTCGATCTCCGTGGCTTCCGGGTCCTTGGCTCGGGCCCTCTTTGAGCGCAGCTTTCGGTGGAGCCGCGAGAGCCGGGCCTGGGGACGACTCCGGTGCTCCAAAAGCATCCGGGCCCGGGCCCGCACGAAGAGGACCTGAGCCCGATCCGTGTGGATCTCGTAGTTCTGGCCCAGGACGCCGATCAGCAAGTTCATGAGCAGGATGGTGATCCCGACGCCTGTGAGGAAAAAGATGACTTGCAGGTACACGAACGAGAAAGAGCCGATTTCGTCGGGGACCGGATCATTGGGCACCCACTCACCTGTAGCATCAACTGCGAAGGTTGTGTCTTGTCCCTGGTACTCGAAGAGGTCGAAGTCTCCAAAAATGCCAAGGCGTACTGTATGGGTGAAGGCAGAGTATATCGGCAGTGGGTCTTCCCCTCTAGGGTTTAAGATGAAATAGGCATGTGTCGCCGATGCTAGGCACAGGACGGTCACAAGAAAAAACGACCACGTATCCCTGACGGCCGACAGGATGGGTAGCAGACGAAGTCCCAGCCACCGCTCGCCGCGCAGGCTGTAGAGGAGTCTCAGCCAAGACATGGCTGAAAAAACAGGCATAAAGACTTGGTCCAGTTCCTGTTGCTCCATCTGAGACCAGATGCTCAAATAGCCCAATACCAGGTACAGCAGGTCCGCCATTGACTCGAGTCCCAGAGCGGAATCCTCGGACTTGCGGCCTCCGCAGCATTGGCCCCGGAAGAGGGAAGCAGCCTTGCTCAGTCTCACTTGGGGCTTTCGGTTCCCGACTTCAGGGCTTCGAGAGCTGGGGCGCAGGGCGGTTTCGGGCATTTAGGGTTCAGGGTTTAGGATCTAGGGCTTAAGGCTTAGGTTAAACCCCAAACCGTGGGGACTGCCTGAGCACCCGGCCTGCAACAGCCACTCGAGAGCCTCCTTCGAGTGGATCACTGTCAACGTCCACAAAGCCGGCCTCGCTTGCAGGCGACTGAACAATGAATGACTCCACGAAGTTTAGGGTTTACGGTGCTATAACCAAGTGCTGGAAGTAGGAGCCCCACAAAACAGCTGGAACAAGATGTTTCTGAGTCTAACTGTCACTGGTCCTTTTGTCTACGACGAACCGAGATTGACAGCGGTGGCAGCTTCAGGGCCATATGTATGAATGTACGCATGCATGTATGTACGTACGCATGTGTGTGTGTATATATATATGTATATATATATATATAGATATATATATATGTACATGTATGTGTGTATATTGCTGTAAATGTATGTATGTATGTATGTATGTATGTATGCATGTATGTATGTACGTATGTATGTACGTATGTATGTATGTATGTATGTAGACATATACAGTACCATGTAATAACATACAATATAATATAATATGAGATAACATAATCTGTCATAATATACTATGATACACCATAATATAATATAGCAAAATATAGTAAAATATAATATAATATA